CATTCCTAAAAGTGATATTATGGTTGTGTCTCCTCTTCTTCCTCCTCCTCTTCCTCCTCCTCTTCCTCTTCCTCCTCTTCCTTGTCCTATCTTCTTCAGTTGGGTTTTCTCTGTTGTTATTCATACATAGGTCAGACTTTCAAAGGGGAGAGGAAAGGGGAGGAGATCATAATGGGAGTCGGAGGAGAATAAATCCCAAAGAGAGAAATGAAATTATGGGGCTGCACTTCCCCACATGACAAGGGTGCTGTGGGATGAAGGGAGCACACCATTAAGAAGCACAGAGACCTGATTCAAATCCTAAAGCGCTACTTGTTTACCTGGGCAAGTTACCTCCCCTCTCCTGCCCCTGCTTCCTTTTATGAAATGGTACTGGCGCAGCCAGCACGTCACAGGGTGGGGATCAAATGTTGCACTGGAGCAGAAGTGCTTAGCCCAGCATCTGGCCACACAGTAAGCACAGGTCACCAATTAGAAACATTATTAGTTCTCCTTCAGGGGCTTTTTTTTCCCTCCTGTCAATACCTTGTTTGAACAAAGCAAGCAAAAAAATAAATAAATAGACACAACCCAACAGATAAGATTGTCCACCTTCAGTGGACATGACACCTAAGTGTGGTGAGTAGAAGAAACAGAAGTCCTCAGTGTGGTCAGAATCTTCTAGAAAGAGTGCAGAGTGAGATTCTGGAGGATAGTTGGGAGAGGAAACTGGGAATGGCTGAGCGTTCAGAATAGACAGGTGGGAAACAGACTAGGCCAACCAAGAAGGTGACTGGTATATATAGAAACTAAGTTGGAAGGTAGGAGTTACAAAGGGAGATTCACGTAGGTTAAAAAGCAGGGGTGGGGAGATCATTGAGTGTCTGTTGGGTGCTAAACATTTTCCATGCAATTTAACCCTCAGCCTCATTTAATAGTAAATTAACTCACCTAGTAAGTGACAGAGTAAGTAAGTCTGAGTGGGTCTGGCTGTCTCCAAAGCACTCAAGCCAGGCTCTGGCTGGGACATTAATAGTCCATCTTCAAGGCAGTCTGTGTCAATCATCTTCCTGGATCAGAGAGGAAACTACCCTCCTAGACCACACCCTGCAGCTCTGGCTAGCTTCCCAATCTTACACCGCGCCATTGGCAGAATCCCACAGAATCTGCATCCTCCAGACTCCAGCCCTCCCGCCAGGAGACTCAGTATGGGGTGAGGGTTCTCTGAGCAGGAGCCCTTGTGAAAGCAGCGTTCTCTTGTTGTCTAGTGCCATTCGATTGCAAGGAGCCACTACTTAGAACCCCCCTGATTCTGGCAAGGACAGAGAGAACAGAAATAGCAAGGGTTGGGGGAGGGGGGTCTGTAAGGCTTTCAAAAACAAACTAGGCTCTCCCATCTAAGCCCTACACACATTCTCCCCAAAGCAAAGAACAAAGCTGAGTGTTGGTGGCTCAGGCCTACAATCCTAGCTACTCAGGAGGCTGAGATCTGAGGAACAAGATCTGAAGCCAACTCTTAGGTCTAATGAACCGCCAAAAAGCTGAAAGTGGAGGTGCGGCTCAAGTGGTAAAGTTCCCCGAGTTAAGGGCAGAGAGGGTGAGGTACAGCGCCCAGCACCCAGGCTCTAGTACCAGCACCACCACGGGGGTGGGGGTGGGGGGGGAGGGAGGAAATGGGTATTGGGAGCGACATTTTTCCATTTCGGATGAAGCCCTGGGCCTGCTAGTGTAGTCAGGTCTGTGGGAGGGCCCGTGGCCGATTTGGTGAGGAGCTTTGCCCTTCCCAAGGACAACCACAGGTCCCTCAGCCATCTCTCTCCCGGGCCCCTGGGGACGGGAGGGAAGGAGGGAGTCAGGCAGGCTGTTCCTGCGGCTCCTTCTGGTGGGGTCAGACACAGCAGTAAGTTTGTGCCAGGCTGCCACCAGGCCTGCACCTGCCGGATCCGAATCTTGGTTAGGTAAGAAGACGGTATGTACCGAGCTAGGAGGGGGCAAGAAAGAGCTGGGAGTGGGGGGAAGGGGTTCCGCAGGCCTGGGCAATCTTGCAAGAATAGCAGCATGGTTCCCCCGGGGCTGGACCCCGCCCCGGGCCTGGGGTAGTGGCTATTGATTGTTGTTGTTGTTGTTTTTTATCTTACTCTACTTCATTATTTTGGCAGGAGTCTGCTGAACGCACCTCAACTTCTGCCCTGTTCTTTGCTCCGGGGCCCCCAGGCAGCATCCACACGAGCTCGGCACGCGATTCTCCATATAGTCTCTGCAAAGGAATGGGGTGCCAAGGATAGGGGGTCCACCAATCTGGCCGGCAGCTCGGTGGTGGTGGTGGTGGTGGCGAGCCGGGCACCTCGCGAGTTCTGACCCCTGCTGGTCCCTTTAATTCGAGTTCGCTGCCGGGCCAGGTGCGGCGCTGCGTGGCGCGGTGCGGCGCGGTGCGGCTGCG